TGAGCTCAAGCAATCCACCTACCTGGGCCTCCCAGAGTGCTAGGATTACAGGCATGAGCCACTGTGCCAGGCAGTCATCTTACTTAGTTTCTTTATGTAAATCTGAGTTTCCTTCTTAAGGAATTTTGTTGTTAACATTTCTTATCTCAGCATTTGCTTGTCTGAAAAAGTATTTCACCTTCTTTTTTTCTTTTCGAGACAAAGTTTCACTTTGTTGCCCTTAGTAGTGCTGTGGTATCACAGCTCACAGCAGCCGCAAACTCTTGTGTTAGCCTCCCAAGTAGATGGGATTACAGGTGCCTGCCACAGTGCCCGTCTAGTTTTTTGAGATGAGGTCTTGCACTTGCTTAGGCTGGTCTTGAACCTGTGAGCTCAAGTAATCCACCACCTTGGCCTCCCAGAGTGCTAGGATTACAGGTGTGAGCCACCGCGCCCACCTTCACCTTCATTTTTGGTGGTATTTTTGAAGGATTTAGAATTTGGGGTTGAACTTTTTATTCTTTCAGTACTCTTAAAGTGTTCCTCAGTTTCCTTTGGGCTGTATAGTTTCTGATTTGTTGCTGTTGTAATTCTTGTCTTTATTCCTATGAATGTACGTATCAGTTTAGGAGGTCTAGTTCTTTATGTGGACTGCCGCCGTATATTGAGCAGCTTGTTACAATTCCTTGGGTGGTCAACGTAGAGGTTCCACTGTATTTACATTATTTTATTTTATTTATTTTTTTAGATAGTCTTATTTGTCACCCTCTGTAGGTTGCTGTGGCATCATAGCTCTCAGCAACCTCAAACTCTTGGGCTCAAGTGATTCTCTTGCCTCAGTCTCGCAAGTAGCTTGGACTACAAGTGCTTGCCACAATACCCATTTATTTTTGGAGATGGGGTCTCACTCTTGCTCAGGCTGGTCTTGCACCTGTGAGCTCAGGGCAGTCCTCCCACCTGGGCCTCCCAGAATGCTAGGATTACAGGCATGAGCCACTGCACCTGGCCATTTATATAATTTTAAGTCATTACCTATAGAATAACATGTATTCAAAGAAGTGTAGTTTCTCTCCCTGTCTGCTGTACCCTATGTCCTCCTTTCCTGTATAGGAAACTATAGGAGTGAGGGGAAATTTGCTCTTTCCTGAAAGTTTGCTGAAAGATTGACTTACAACTAAGACATAATACTAAGGGGTAGATTTTTATTTACTATGAGGGGGAAATATGCAGTATATGTAATTCTCTGTAGGGCAATGAATGGTTGCTAGGGAAGATGAATGGATGGGGGAAACAGATTGACTTGTAAATGATTATCTTAGCAAATTAAATTAACAGGTATTATATTTAAAATGATTTGGGCCAGGTCTGGTTGCCTTTTTTTTTTTTTTTTAAAGACAGATTCTTACTTTGTTGCCCCAGTAGAGTACCATGGCATCATAGCTCATAGCTACCTGAGACTCTTCAGCTCAGGCAATTTCTCTTGCCTCAGCCTCTTGAGTAGCTGGGACTACAGGCACCTGCCTTAATGATGGGAGTCTTGCTCTTACTTGAACTGGTCTCAAACTCCTGAGCTCAGGCAATCTGCACCTTGGCCTCCCAGAGTGCTGGGATTATAGGCGTGAGCCACCATGCTGGCCCTGGTTGCCTTCTTGATCCTTTTTCCTACAATACACTGAGATACCTGGGAGGGGAAGGGAAGTCAATTGTTCTTTTCATCTGTCAGTTTGTGCAGTTAGAGGGAAAGCCCCTTCCAGTTCTTTTTGATCTAAAAGGGCTTATAATTCAAAATATTCTTTTTATAGAGAGAGAAGGGAGGTGGGGGACTAGAAGAACAGAGAGAGGGAAGGAGGGAGGGGTGGAGTCTTGGTGTGTGATACACCTGTTTTTTTTTTTTTTTTACCGTAACAGGGACTTTACCTAACAAATGCAATCAGTGTAACCTGGTTTCTTATACCCTCAATTAATGCTCAACAACAACAACAAAAAGATGGAG